GGGAGTTTGAAAATCAGCATGGGTGGTTTGAAGATTGGCTGCAAGGGTCCCCCAGGCTCTCCACCTTGCTACCTACCATTCTAGCCCCCTTAGTTGTTTTTCTCCTTCTCATTACCTTTGGTCCCTGGGCCTTTCAGCAGTTGACTCGGTTTATCAAAAATCAGATTGATTCGGTCTTACCACAACATGTCTCGATTCATTATCACAGAGTAGATTCTGAGGAGGCCGGCCAGGAGCCCCATCAAGGACTCAGATTCAGTGTCTTAAGGCCCTAACGTCCCCACGGTCCTGCTAGAGGGTACCCAATGACGGGAATAGTACAGGGCTCACGCCAGGGACAACAGCATACAGAGGTCGTCAAGACCGGCTCAACATGGCACGCTGCCGAGCGTGGGAAGCCCCCTGTGTAGCCTAAGACAGGGACTCTCTCGGACCCTAGCCACCCCGATCACACGGACTTGGTCCATTTTTGAGAAAAGAGGGGGAACTGTTGGGGACCGACTCCGGACAGCTGTGTCTTGAATTTTGTGTGACCTTCCTTACTTTATCAAACCTTGCAAAAACAGGTTCCTGGCCTAACCGCAGGCTGTACAACTTCCTGGAGTACGTGCTAATCAGCCAGCTGCAGGGGCCTGGGACCAAAGCGACCTCACCCCCCCTTAGGAATTTTCCATTCTTCTCTCCTTTTGCTTCCCCTGCTCCCCCTCCCTGCCTGAAGCCCTGCTTATAAGCCTCAATACCCAGTCAATAAACGAGACCTTGACGCGACTCAGACTGACTCTGTCTTCCTTTATGTGCCTGGTCTCCTTTCTCTCTCACCCCCATTGATCTTTCAGGAGGTGCCTCCTCGGGTCTCATCAAATAACCTGGCCCGAGGGACAGGGCACCAACTCTTTATAAATAGGTTTCTTTACATAATGCTAACCCTTGAACCTCTTAGAGATGAAAAACATTGGCGGGGTCGGGGGAGAGCAGTAAAGACAGCTGTGGTGGTATTGTGTTCCCCAAAATATTGTGCACCCTAATAAACTTATCTGGGGTCAGAGAACAGAACAGCTACTAGATACAGAGGCCAGAAAATGGTGGCACACATGCCTTTAATCCTAGCATTCCAGAGGAGAAATCCGTCTGGATCTCTGTGAGTTCAGGGCCACATTGGAAACAGCCAGGCATGGTGACACACACCTTTAATCCCAGGAAGTGAGCCTTTAATCCCAGGAAGTGAGGGCAGAAAGCAGAAAGGTATACAAGGCATGAAAACCAGGCACTAGGCTGGTTAAGCTTTTAGGCCTTTGAGCAACAGTTCAGCTGAGATTCATTTGGATGAGGACTCAGAGGCTTCCAGTCTGAGGAAACAGGATCAGCTGAGGAACTGGCAAGGTGAGGTAGCTGTGGCTTGTTCTGCTTCTCTGATCCTCCAGCAGTCACACCAATACCTGGCTCTGGGTTTGTCTTATTAATAAGACCGTTTAAGATTCCTGCTACAGACAGCAGTTAAAAGTTTAGATGACAGTGCCCTGCATGAGTACAAAGGGGTACTTCTGAGACTCACGACAATGGTTGGGTAACAATCCAGTATCAGAGGTGATGACCCAGTAGGAGTAATTTAATAATTTGGAGTTCCTAGTAGATGAATCTGTCTCCGTAGTATAGACTGAGGAAAATATAACCAATACAGAGGAAACAATGGTAGAGAGTAAACAATTCCTGATTTAACAATGCCTGAATCTCTGGTTTCACAGAGTAGATTCTTTCACAGACATGCACTTTTCTGATAGGGGAGTAACATATTTATGGGCAAGCTGAGAAGATGGAAGGGAAGTAAGGTATGAACATATTATGCATAGCCAGCATAATTCAAAGCTTTTCCATATAATATATTCTTTTCCTTTCCTCAACTCCTCCCAGATCATCCCCACCCAACTTCATGTGCTCTCTCTCCTCTCTCTATCAAATCCCCCTCAATAAAAAAGAAAATAAACCAAACAATATGACAAAAATACCAAAAACAAAGAAAAAACAAACAAAGCAACAACAAAACAAAACAGAATCAAACCAGAGTCCATTTTGTGCTGGCCAACTACTCCTGTGCACGGGGTGTGCTCTGGAGTGTGGTTGGCACACTCAGTGACACTCACTGGAGACAAGTGATTTTCCTTTCCTAGCAGGTTGTTGGGATCAGAATGGCTCTGACCCTCTAAGACTGCCCCCACCTCCCCTGTTCTGAGTGCGCTGAGGTCAGGCTGTTCCGCAGATGTTTTGCTGATCGGTACATCTCGTGGTTTGGCAGCTGTGGCTTCCTGGGGCATGCTGGCCTTTCCTTGACCCTGGGTGCTTGGTAAACAATTCTGCTTGTTCCTCCTTCTGAAAGGGTATATAAGATGGGGAAGAAAGAATAAAAGAGTCCTGATGCTTGCAACTTAACTGGTGCGTGCTGTGTTCATCCCGACTTCCCCCGCCAGATTTCGGGCTCAATTGCCGTGCGGGCGCGGCAGCAGGTATCAATTGTGAATACCTTTTTGTTTGGGAGTGGAAATTTGTGGCTACTTCCCTTCTTAGTGTTGAGATTTTACCTGGGTTGAACTTGTGCCGATCTTATACATACATATGCCACACCTGAGTGGGTGGTTCTGAACAGCATAAGAAAGCAGGCTGAGCAAAGCATGGGGAGCAAGCTAGTAAGCAGTACTACTCCATGACCTCTGCATCAGTTCCTGCCTCTAGGTTCCTTCCTTGAGTCCCTGCTCTGACATCTCTTCATGGTGGACTGTGATTAGAACACACAAGCTGAAATAAAACCTTTCCTCTCCATGTTGCTTTTGGTCATGATGTTTTATCATAGCAATAGAGTCTAAGACAGGAGAGAAAAAGAGAAAACATGGACATGGGGCTCCCACGGTGAGATTTTCTGTTTGTTTGTTTTTTTTAAAGTGAAAATATACATGAGAAAATAACAACTATGAAAGACTTGATAACCAAACTAGTTACCTGCCAGATTTGTACCGTTTTTTTTTTTTTTAATATATAATGTTGAGTAAGCATACCCACTTCTCTCCAATTGATGTTTCATTGAAAAAGAATAGCAAAGATAATGCTGGAAAATGTTGGGTAGTTCAGTCAACCCTTTGGTTTTCTTCAATACGGGCTGCTTTCTTATGTCAACTTGACTCAAGTGAGAGTCATCTGAAAGGAGGGAACCTCAATTGAGAAAATGCCTCCCTAAGATCAAGCTGTAGGACATTTTTTTAACTGGTGACTGATGGGTGAGGGCCCAGCTCACTGTGGGTGATGCCATCTCTGGGCTGGTGGTCCTGGGTTCTCTAAGAAAGCAGGCTGAGCAAAGAAAGCCATGAGAGCAAGCCAGTAAGCAGCACCCCTCCATGGCCTCTGCATCAGCTCCTGCCTCCAGGTTCCCGCCCTGCTTGAGTTCCTGTCTTGACTTCCTTTGATGATGAACCATCATATAGAAGCATCAGCCAAAATAAACCCTTTCCTCCCCAAATTGCTTTTGATCATGGTGTTTCATCATACCTATAGAAACCCTAACCATGACATACCCTAAGCCTTTCCACCCAACTTAACCTCCTTAAGTGAGTTTCTGTTCATTCCAAAATGTCTCTATGAAGAGTCCTTTACCCTTACTTTCCATGGTTTCCATCACTACTGAATTTATACTCCATTCACCCACCAGACAGTGCTTTCCATGACCACCACTTCTTTAAACTAGCCCCTAGCTTCTTTCAGTCACAAAATGCAAAGTGTACTGAAATGAATGATAGAGGGAAGGCAAGCGCATGAACTGGAAGGGTGGGACTCAAGAGACGAGAAACTAAAAAACTGCGATTACTGTTTTCCTATAATTTTTCTATACTTTCTTCTCATATAACTTGTAATTGTTTTACTAAATACTTACTTGAGCTTTTGGTTTTGTGTTTCCCATCCTCTCACTGGCTTTTGGTCACCTCTGTCACTTACACTAAGAGATCACTAGGATTTCATGCCATGTTTACTTAAGAGGTCAGGGATAACGACCAACTAATGGATGGAATAACAGACTTATGTGAGTAAGACATGAAAGCCAGATAAACAGAAGATAGAAAGATGTTTATCCTCAGGTGCGCCACTTCAGGGCTGTCCCACGAGCTTTTCCAACACTTGTCAGGAAAGTATGCCCTAATGCCTCATAGTTGCTTCAGCTCTCTTCTTGATTGGGACCCCAGATAAAACAATACACTGACCCCTATCAACTTTTCAGACATATTCAAACTGCAACACACTTAGGGAGTTTTCTGAAAGTGGCAGAGCACAGTTCACAGAGAGCTGAATGATGTGGTGGGATGAACTCTCCCTGAGGGTCTGACTATAAAAACTGGGGGCTCAATCAGTGCCCAAGATGGGAAGAGAGGACCCTGGCAAACCAAAGTCAAGTGAAGACTCGGATCCACTAAGTACTTTAGGGTAACTCCAAGGGAACAAGAAAACGAATCTTCAAAACAAAGGGATAACAGTGTGATTCACGTGAATCCATGGCCAATGCGTTCATGTAAACCTAGCTTAGAACTTATGAGAAATAGATTTTAGTTATGTTCATCAGATTAGACAGCACTCTCTAGGGGATGGAATCCTAAGTAACTTTCACCTCCCAGCCTTTACTTTCTAACACAGAAATTACTCTCTCAGGAAATGATAGCATGTGTCTGTCTTTGAGTTCAGAGTAACAACTTTGTGTCTTCCCGAGGGTAAGGCTGTAAGTCTCAAGTCTAACCTACAAAACAAGGCTTCCTTATGAAATGAAAGGCTCCAGCAGGCCCTGCTCTTACTAAGCAGGGGAAACCAGGTTTCACAATGTTCACAGCACTAGTGTCTCCCAAACATTTCTTGACTTAAAAAAAATAGGGTAATTCAAAAATTGGAAATAAAAATTTTGAGATCTATAGCCAGAATTTAAAAAAAATTGCATATTTGGAAAACTGGGAGGAAAAAATTTCGAGATCCAGAGCCAGAGGTTTTCATTACCTGTTGTTCAAAGTTATACACCAGACAAGTGAAATCATATACATATACAAATGCTCTTGAGGGTCCCATTAGGTACCTTCTATTTAAACATTCAAATATTAAACACAGTGATAAAGCCAACTTCCATTTCTTAATACTCAGTACGTTTTCAGGGTTGCTCTTCAGTGTGAACTCTTTGATGTCGGATGAGGGATGAGCTGCATTTAAAGCTCTTCCCACAGTCATTACATCTAAAAGGTTTCTCTCCAGTATGAGTTCTCTGGTGTTGAATAAGCGCTGATGAATGGATGAAGGCTTTACCACACTCACCACACTTGTAGGGTTTCTTTCCAATATGAATTCTTTGATGTTTAGCAAAATTTGAGCTCCGGCTAAATGTTTTCCCACATTCATTACATTCATAAGGCTTTTCTCCAGTGTGAATTCTCTGGTGCTGAACAAGGTGTGTGCTCTGACTAAAAGTTTTTCCACATTCGCTACACTCATATGGCTTTTCTCCGGTATGAACTCTCTGGTGCTTAGTAAGGGATGAGCAATGGCTAAAGGCCTTCCCACATTCCTGACATTTATAGGGTTTCTCTCCAGTATGAGTTCGTTGATGTTTAATGAGTGCTGATGAGTGAATGAAAGCTTTATCACATTCATTACATTCATAAGGCTTCACCCCAGTATGAATCAACTGATGCTGTGCAAGATGTGTACTTCGGTTAAAACCTTTCCCACACTCACTGCATTCATAAGGTCTCTCTCCAATGTGAATTCTTTGATGTATAGCAAGGGATGAACTTTCTATGAAGGTTTTCTTGCATTCACTACACTCGAAGAGAATTCTAGTATGAGTTCTCTGGTGTTTAGTTAAATTGGCTCTGTGGCTGAAGGATTTCCCACATTCACTGCAGGTATAGGGTTTCTCTCCAGTATGGACTCGCTGGTGTCGAATAAGCACTGAATGGTAAGTGAAGAGTTCACCACAGTCATCACATTTATGAGGTTTTTTCTCTTTATAACGTCTCTGCTTTTTCATTAAGTTTGATTTCTGCTTCAATCTTTTCCCAAGTGTATGAAAGTCATAGGATCCTTTGGGAACTCTCTCATCAGTCATAAGGAGTGGTTTCTGATTGCAATTGTCCCAATATATATCATGTTCACTATCTTTTTCCACAGGGAGGGAGTTCATGTGAGGGAGCATTTGTCTTAAGTGCTTTTCCTGATTTCCTTGCTGATGCTCTAACCAATGCTCACAATTGTGAGCTGTTTCCAAGCTGGAGTCATACACAGCATTTTCTGTCAGTTTTTCTGCTCTTGTAACCTGGTATGTGTCTTCTGTGGAAAAGTCTTGCACTGAAGTTGAATCCTCGCTCTCAGGTCTCTCAGGTCTAGTTTCCACATCTGCAAAGACATTGCAAATGCAAATTTTCTTTGTTTTTGTTTTCTGTGCTTAACAAAAACACAGTTCTATAACAGGTAAGAATTAATGAAGATGAAAGCACGGCTTTGTGGAATTAGTAGATCTGACACTCTTATTGGAAGGTTTGCAAAAAAGAAGAAAACTGAGGGAAATAAATATGAAAATGAATAGACTCTAGCCAGGAGAATCAGATGGGGGAAAGATGGTCAGAAATATAACAAGAGGAGGGAAAAAGAGGAAAAATGTGTCAGGGGAGGAGCGGGCAATGAGTGCATTAGATCTGGATAGTAAGAACCACATTTTTTTTTTTTTTTTTGGTTTTTTGAGACAGGGTTTCTCTGTGTAGCTTTGCGCCTTTCCTGGAACTCACTTGGTAGCCCAGGCTGGCCTCGAACTCACAGAGATCCACCTGGCTCTGCCTCCCGAGTGCTGGGATTAAAGGCGTGCGCCACCACCGCCCGGCCAAGAACCACATTTTATAGAATATCTTCTGTTACAATATCTAGGAAACCACATACAAAGTTGTATAGCTAAGTATATATACATTTAATGATATGTAGTATAGTAGTATATAATACTATGTTATTATAAATACTATTCAGTATAGTAATTAAAATAGTATGGTCCTCAAACATAGACAAATAAGCCTAGAAAGAAATTCATATATATATATATACATACATACATACATATATATATATATATATATATATATATATATATATATATATATGAACTGGGTGTTGCAGAATATTTGTTTGCACTGTGTGAAGATGTGATTGCTTTAATAAGGAGATGAATGGCCAATAGCTAGGCAGGAAAGCTAAGTGTGATTTCCAGGCAGAGAGAGGAACACTGGGATGAATCTAGGCACAACGGAGATTCCAGAGACACTGAAGAAGTTGGACATATGGTACAGAGGGGAGGTAACCGAGCCACATGGCAGAACATAGATTAATAAGAACATGTTAATTTAAGTTATAAGAGCTAGTTAGGGAAAAGCCTAAGCTAAGGCCAAGTTTTCATAATAACTCTCCATGTCATTATTTGTGAGTTGGTGGCCCAAAGGAAAGTCTGACTACAAATGGGTTTACCAAAAGGTAGCATTACAAATCACTGATAAAGGATTACTCAATAAATGATGTTGGATTATAGGCTGTAAGCATGAAAAAGACCCACTTCACATGACTTACAAAAATAAATACCTGCACAACAAAACTTGAATATTTTATAATAAAATTCAGATTATACTTCTGACACTGGTATGACAAAACAATTCACATAAAGTAAACTTAAAATAGCAAGGACTTAGCCAGGTGTGGGGGCACATGCCTTTAATCCCAGCACTTAGGGAGGCAGAAGCCAACCTGGTTTACACAGTGAGTTCTAAGAGAGCCATAACTATTACACAGAGAAACCCTGTGTATAACCTCCCAACCCCCAAATTAGTAAAGGTTGGGGCTAGAGAGACAACTCAGTGGTTAAGGGCACTTGCTGCTATGGAAGAAGACCCAGGTTCAGTTCCCAGCACCTACAGGGAGGCTCAAAACACTCTACAACTCTAGTACCAGGGGATCCAACCCTCTCACCAGACCCACACCCAAACACAGAAAGTCAAAACAAATGTTTTTAAAAGATATATCTTTAATTTTGTATGTGTGTCTACATCTGGCTATGTATGTGGGAGTCAGATGCCCCCAGTGGCCAGAGGCTTTCGATTCCTTGGAGCTGGAGTCATAGGTAGTGGCAAGCGGCCTGACCTGGTGCTGAGAAGCATGCTCAGGTCGTCAACAGGAGCAGTGTGTACTTCTAACTTCTGAGCCATCTCTCTGGCCCCTAAAATGAGCTAGGGATGTAGCTCAAGGGCAGAGTGCTTGATTACAAGGTTTGGGGTTCCAACCCCAGAATTGAAAAAACAGAAATCAGTAAATCTGACCTTAAAATTTAAAAGTTTAATATACTAAATTTGGGGCCTATTCATTACGCCTCAACCTGGAAGAATCAATTCCTCCTTATTTCTAACACGACCACTACCATACACTAGAATCTAAACTTACAAATAGCTGCAGCAAATCAAGGAGGCTAGAATAGGCAAGAGTCACAAACACACGGTTCATATTTAGTACTCAGAGAGATGCAAACGAAAAACACCAAGTGGCATTTTTTTTTATAAGATGGACAAGAGCCACTAAGTCAACTGGTGGACAAGATGGGGAAAAGACCTTAACAAATCTAATAAAACTATATGTGACACTTGAAGACCCATCTATCTTCTTCCAGCCATCTACTTTGATGTCAGCTCTCAAGAGGAACATGAGTAATAAAAGACAGTCACGCAACTCTGCTAATGGTTGAAAATTAACAAACTGTCCAGTCTCCGCACACAATGCACTTACTCCACACTCCATGTTGTTTAAAAGAAATACAGACAATTCATTACATACTAATAGAGACTGATAGCAAAATGAAATGGTGGAGCTTAACCATAGATTACAGAAGAACAATTGTAACAATGAGATACACATTTTATGTACACGCGCATGTGCATACATATCTCTGCCCATGCAAAACAAGAAGGTTCACACCAACCTCAAGACAAAGTGGTCCCTTCTAGAGAACGAAAGAACGAGAGGACTTTATCTGAAGCTCTACATTTTTTTGTTTTTTGTTTTTTCTAGACAGGGTTTCTCTGTGTAGCTTTGGTTCCTGTCATGGATCTCACTCTGTAGACGAGGCTGGCCTCAAACTCACAGAGATCTCCTGGCTCTGCCTCCTGAGGGCTGGGATTAAAGACATGCGCTACCACCGCCCAGCTTGAATCTCTCAAATGTTTATTTCTTAAAAAGTAAAAGACATCACGTAGCCATAGGAATGGCTAAAATAAACACGGATAATATTGTTACAACTGGAAGTTGTAACTTCTCTCAACAGAAATGCAAGTGGGAAGGTTTTTGTAAACCCTCTTTGGCAATATCTACATTACACACACACACACCCACCCACCCCAAAAAGCTTATGTGTTCATCAAAAGCCATGTGAAAGAATGTACATAGGAGCAGTATTCATACAACCCAAACTGCACACTCTCCAAATACCTGTCTTCAAGAGAATGGGTAAGCCGGGATGCTGGAATAATGAAAGGTTACACAGCACTAAGAATGAACTAATCTCAACAACATGCCACAATATGGGTGCATCTCACTGTGAAAGCTCAGAGAAGGGAGCCAATCTCAAAAGAATATACAATGATTCCATTTAAATGAGGTCCAACACCAATCAGAACTAACTATGGTGTCACATGCCGAGATAAGGTGACCCGTGGGAGAGAGGTGACTGAACACCGGGCACGGGGTGCTTCTCAGGAGACTGGTGCTTTCTTGATCTAGGCGGTAGTTACATGAATGGGTTCAACTTGTGAAAATTCACACACACATTATAGTGCTTTTATGTATTTTTACTGTTGCAAAAAAAAAAAGAGGAAAGAAGAAAGGAGCGGAAAGTGACATAAACAATTTCAATTTTGGTGATGGTTATTTTATTTTGATTTATATATTTTAAAAGTTTCAAATTTTAAACTACTTTGAAAATCAAGGCACCCTAGGCATTTCTAATACTCTCTCTCAAGCTCTGCAAAGTGCTTCCTATTCACTCGTCTGCCGGACGGAGGCACCTGTCAAGTTCACCTACCTGAGTAACTGCATTTGGGAGGGTTTTCCTCAAGCTCCAGTAGTTCTTTTCCAGCGTCCAAATTATAGTCCTCAGGTTTGGAAATGGGAAGCCCTGTTTATTAAAAAGAAAAGGAAAGGAAGAGAGTAACATGAACGAAACAAGTATTTACGGAGGGCGCAAAGATCCCTACTGGAATTTAGTTCCATGCCCTTCACTTAGACAAGACGTGGCAAGGCCATCTGGAGAGAGGCAGGAAGGACCTCTCAGTGGGGCTTAGAGTATCTGCCAGAGTCTAAGACTGGTGCAAAGTTAAACTGAGTTTATAAAGACAAACTTGTCTGTTGTAAAGGGAAAGGAGGCGTCTCATTTCCTTATTGTCTGTGGGGCTAGAGAACAATAATGCAGATTAATTAATCTTCAGTTCAGAAAAGAATATGAATAATATGGGACTTCAGTGGCACCCCAAAACTGTGACTGTGGAACTAGAGTTTTTAATCTTCTAATAGTTTTCCTTTCTTTTTCAGTTACTAAAATTTCTTTGGGGATTTATTACACGGCGTTTTGACATGGGCCACCACAGCCTGTATCACCCTCAAATAAACAAGTGCACAAACACACACCCGCACCCCCCCCCCCCCACACACACATGTGCACACACACAGAGCGATGCACGCAGGATCCAAAATGGGCCACAAGCACTGCCTCTCCCTGCTCTGTACCTTTTATCTGATGGGTATATGCCCATTAGTTGAATTTTCAAAATAAAAGCATCTCCTTTCTTTGCTCAGCTCTCGAGCTAACTGAAGAAAAACCTAACCCCAGAGCTGCTGCCTCCTCGGCCACATAGGGGTCTCCTAAATTAATAGATAAGATGGCAATTGACAAGGCAGCTGACTTTAAACAAATACAATTCCAATGACACCTTTGCTTCCCTAGGTTCCTCCCTGTGAAGCCAGTGAACATTAGGCTGTCATTTGACTCTTGATAAACCAGAAGCCTGAACAGTTCACCAGGGACCTAGAACAGAATGGGGTGGGACAGAGCTCAGTGGCAGTGTGTACGCTCAGCCTGTGCAAGACTCAGATTCAATCCTCAGGATCCAGCAAAACAAAACATTTTCCTCAATGCCAAAAAGAAATGCTTTATGACTTGTCAATGAGGAGTGAAGGCTTGTTAATGCATTTCCTTTTCACGAAGTAATGTCAGCCCCGTGAGTGGGTTTCAGAGTCAGGGGAAGGAGCTGTTCTTACAAAGTGAGACCAGGCTCCTGTAGTTCTCCAGCATCACGTCCCTGTGTGCAGGATCCAGTTGTCCCCATTCCTCTGGTGTCAAGTCCATGGCCACATCCTTGAATGTCACGGTCTCCTAAGACACAAATACACTTGTTTTCACCATCTTTCGGTCAATACCTGTGATGGCTATTCTTGGTTGTCGACTTGACCACCTCTAGAATTAACTATAAACCCAAGCAGCTGCGTACACCTGTGAGGGATTTTTAGTTAGCTGGATCATTTGACGCAGGAAGTCCCACCTTAAAAGGTCAGAAGACCCACCCTAAATCTGGACCACCCTTTCTCATGGTGGCTGATATAAAAACATGGGACAAGGAAGCCTTTGCTTTTTGCCTGCTTGCCCTCACTCTCACTGGCGAGTTCTATATCCTGCTGCTGAGGCATTCATTCCTTCACTGGCAGTAGAGCCTACTTCTTTGGGATCCTGACATCTACTGAAGACCAGCTGAGATGGCTACCCTCATGGACTGGACAACTATTGGATTCTTGAACTTTCTGTCAGGAGGCAGCTGCTGTTGGACTAGCTGGACCGTAGCCTATAAGCTACTCTAATAAATCCCTTTCTATATATTCATTCTGTCAGTTCTGTTCTTCTAGAGAACCCTGACTAAAACAATGCCCCTTCCTTCCATTCTGTTCCTGATGGAAACAATGCACATGGCCGAGACACACTCAACAAGAGAAGTGATGGGTTTTCTAATAGTGTTTAGATCTCAAATTGTCTATGTACTTTCACTCTATACCAGGCTCATTGTAAGACTCAACAGAAATAAGACTGCTCGCACCAGAGAGACTCTCATTTTTCTGTCAAAAAAGTAAATAAGATATAAGCACTGAGGGAGGAAGAAAAGGATGTCTGCATACTTCTCCTATAAGTCCTTAATACACACAAAGCATGTCATAGTCTTCAGAAGAATTATAATGCAGATGTTGCAGAGAGGTCACAGAATAAAAAAAACTGTCAATGAACAGCAAATCCAGCTAAATGTGCAATTAATTCAAGATAAAGGGCATTAAATGAGAAAATGTGATAAACTAAGGTTACAGATGTCACTCAAAAGCGGTTTTAAAAAATGTTATAAAGTTACATGTTAGTAACATTAAAAGAGGGGGGGACTACATATTGGTAGTGAACATGCCCCTTTAAGTAAAGCCATAGAGAATGGGAATAATATTCCAAATTTGCTGAAACAAATGTGTCACAAATGCTTAACTGGACACAAGGCACCTTCTATTTAAACATCCATGAAGCATTTGCAAAAGCCAAGAAAGCAGATTTTAGTAAATTCCCAAATAAGAAGAAAGCTATACCTGATAATAATTGTAAAACTATATTGGAACATAAAAAGAAAGAAGCAAAATGCAAAGTCCAAGGCTAAACAGCTAAAAACTCTGGGGGTACACAGCACTCTTGGAATTTCTTAGATTTTAAACACCTTTCCTGTATTTTCAAAATATGTAAATACACGAGAAGGGCACACAAATCATATCAAAGAATACGAACAATAGAAAGAACATTAAAAGACAGAAGCAGAAATTTTATACACAGAAAAATAAGACAGCTGGGAAATCTGGGAAAGGCCAAAGGTCACTGTATTATGCCAACGTTAACGTCCCAATTCCAGAAATGAGATTAAGGCAAAGTAAAAGTGTTGACTTCTGGAGTTTCAATGAAACGGAGACAAGAGATCTCTGTGTTGTTATTTGTAACCTTTCCCATGTCTATATTTTTCTCAAAGTAAAGTTTCCAAAATAGTTTGAGATTTTAGAAATCAAAGAATCATCTTTCAAAAATGAAATAACAGGCAATCCCCCCACCCCCAAGCAGCCACTAAATACAAGACTTCATAAAAAACAAAATGTGACCTTGACCCTCGAATCTGGATACAGAGCTCAGTCAACACTCAGCGGAAATAAACTGCTCATCAATTCAACGGAAAAACAAAACAAAAAACAGAACAGCAAAGATGAAAACTGTTATAGGCAAGGCAGGAAAAACTCAGGAGGAGAAACAGCACCACACACACACTGAGGGAGCAGAGCTCCTTATAACATGGTCTTGTTGAAAGTTCTACCCTATTTACAGAACAGGTTAACCAAAACACCCCAGGGAGGGGAATGGAAGGAAAGACAGTGTGTCACGTGTCATCCGGATTCAATACTCTAAAGTCAATAAAATACAGGAAAATACACACCAGACAGTGATTCTCTGAAGAAAGAGGTGAGGGGCTGATTTGGGGAAGAAAGTTATCATACCTATATATTTCTATGTTCTGTGCTGCTTATTAAATCAGTAAGAACTAAAACTAATATACATATTTTCTAAATCTAGTAAGATTAAAAAAATTAACCAACTCAGGCAGATTTGAACACAAAAGTTCCAACATTAGCATTAAATAAAATCTAGTAAAATTAAAAAAGGACAGACTTAAAAAACATCCATAAAAGAGCCAATCCACCACGATGATGTAACATTAACAGTCTTCAGTCTAGTATGAAAGTAGTGAAATGCACCAACTGTTCGCCCTTCTTCTGGTACCTGTACCCTGACTTGTCTGTGCCTCTGTGCTGGCCCACTCAAGCCTGTGGAGATCAGGCAGAAAACCGATCCGTTGGAGTCAGGGGCGGAATGTGTCTACGGATGTGTGCACTGGTATACTCCACAAACTGCTACTCTTGGCCACCACCGATAATGGTGGGAGGAAAAGGCCTTCCATGCTGCTAGAAGTAATCCCAGCACTAGCGGAACAGCTAACCTTCAACCTTGAAGATGCAAGCCTCCCCTTGTTTGACGAGGACACTAGAAGAAAAGCCTGTTTGAAGAGCAGGCCTCGCAGAGTTTTAGAAAAAGGTCAACAAAATGGGCAAGCTAGCTCTCCCCGTTGCTGCCGAAATCCTTCCCCTCGCCAAACCTGGACTTTCAGTTACGTGGGTCAATAAAGACCTCTTCTTGCACAAGCCAGTTTAAGATGAATATCTTAAGTCTCTTGGGTTAGTAAAGTCTGCAAGACTCACAGGGCAGTTGAGAAAGTATAAAAAAGGGCCAGAAGTCACTTCCACAGGCATTATATGTAGCGGAGGCTGACTGAGGAATCTTTGGGCTTCAGAATGCAACATGAACACAGTAATCAGTAAAACCACCATCAGTCCATAGCCAATAATTCTCCCTTGACACCCTCGCTCTGTGTGGGAGGGACACAAAGTAGTCATAGGACACTGTAGACCCAATACTCCAAAGTGAGAGGAACCAGACCCAACACTCCAGATTCATCCACAGGGAGTACTGGCTCCTGACCCTGAGTTTTTAAGCCTTCAGAGGCTTTCTTCTTCCAGGATCAGCTTTAACTGAGTATGTATTATTATTCTAATCACACTGTTTTCTTAAGGTCCTACTTAGAGTCACATGTGCGCTGTTTCCCTCAGAGAAATGCAAGCTTTAAGAACTACGTACAGTAGTATTACCCTTTAAATAGCTTTCCACATTACCAAATACAGAAATTAGCATGGGGTGGGAGGGTGAAGAAGGGAAATGTGGCTTACCTGCCTGTAGAGAGACAATAAATACTACATGGAGAAGAGAGGTACTATGAGCAAGTGGAAAACATTTCCTACTGAGTCCATTAGTCTCTGAGAGTTAGAACTCAGGTCTCTAGATGGGCTCTGTGGACAAAGAAATCCCACATCCAAAAGGGAGTGCATCCGCGCTCCGAGACACAAGATGGGATTTGATCTTAACCCACGCAGACTCACCTGGGACTTGGCTGTGAGTCTCAGGGCGGCCATTTCTCCTTCGGCACTCTTCTCTTGGGAAAGAAGAGAATCCTGGGAAGACAGAGCTAAGGGCAAGGAAACAGTAGTGACAAGGTCTAGACCCGGCTCGCTACTCAGATTACAATCTAAAACCCCCTTCACCACCCCCAACGCACTCCCAGTTAAAGACTGCAGGGAATCCAAAGCAAACTGGTACTTTCCAGTCCTGTGGACTATGCCCAGGAACTTAGCTTCTCTGAGCTTCACACATCCCAGAAAACAGAACTCTCTGGTCTACAAACTAGAATAAGTAAGTTCCCATCATAATCTACCTAAAATCTTAGTTTTTAAAAAAAGTCCTCTTAAAGCTTACTTAAGATGTAGCCTGCTAGATCTCACCTCCAAATTGTGATTGGTTGAGTGTGAGGTGACATCTAGAAATCTGACAAGCACCCCTGGAGGGAATTCTGGCACAGGTCACAGTGCAAGATACACTGGTCTAGTAGTATTGAAGTCAGCCCTGCACTTCTGTGCCTGTTAAACACATTCTGAGTTATCTGTGTTGAAACGGTACCATAATTGTACGGACACAGTGGGATAAAAGGTGTGGAAAAATATTTTTGTCAACTACAAAGCTGAATTCTTGTATCCACGATGGAAACCAGGATGGGACAGTAATTTGGAAGAACTTGTGACTAAATTGTGACAATGTCCCCACTGGGGGTACACACCTGTGCAGCACACTTAAGTGGATGGGGACTGACCCTCACAGCAAGTGGTGCAACTCCCCAGAGCCCACTTCTCCTCAAGACAGTGTTGACAAGCCGCCCTCTTTTCCCAAGAGCCACCTAACTCAAGGCAAAGGTGGGTTTTCCCTTCAAAGGGAAGAATTCAACTTTTCCACGATGCAGAACCAACCCATGAGTAACTCTACCTCTTTTCTGGGGCACTTCAACCAAATCCATCTCCACAATCACCGCCTCTTCAAGGTCCCTAAGGTTCCGCTCTTCTCTGGTTCGCAGTTAGTCGTCCACGGAGCCCTCGAAGGGCTTCTTCCCTCTTGAGCTCTGCGGAGAGCGTCACTCGGATCACGTGGGACCTGGAAACCAGGGAAAGCATCCTGAATCTGGGTCCTCACATGCCTGTCCCTGGCGCCTGGAGCTGTCCTTGGGGGACCAAGCACCTGAGAGATGGCATAGGTAGGTACCGACAACCGCGCCTCGCGCCCAACTCCGCCCTCTGCTCCCGTCTGCACCGGGTCCGGCAGAGAGCGATCCCGGCCGGCGCGTGGGGCGGGGAGGGGACGAAGCTCAGGAACTGCAAACTCCAGTCCCACCTGGCGCGGAACGACCACTGGACCACCGCAGCATCCCACCAAGCCAACTCACCACCCATCCCGGGCCTGACAAAAGGCTACGAACTTCTCGGGTTAGCTCCGAGTCGCGCATGCGTGACATTCTGCGGGGCAAAGTCAGAAACTACGACTCCCAGAAGCTCCTGCGCGCAGCCAGACCGCCCCCCCCCCCCCCCAGTTTCTTGGCAGGTGGGCCCACGCGTGGCTCAGCAGCAAAGCGGGATTCCTCTCTCTCGCGAGAGGAAAGGGTGCATCTTCTGTGGTTAGATTCTACAGTACCCGAGAATGGGACGTGCAAGACACTGGCCGTGGGTCTCTCTCCCTTGTCTGCACAGTTACCTCCATGCAGCTTCAGCCCAAATTTCTTTACTGTAGCCATGAGTATATGGCTTTTAACCATGATTTCGCCCTCCCCAAACTCATCGTTTGTCGTCACACGATATGAACGCTGTATTTTTAGATCAGGATCCTGGCTGTACACGCATTCATTCCGATGGTCTTGTATCCAGAGACTATTTGCAATCCTAAAAACTCATATGAGCAGAATTGAAGGTATTGGGCCGGTTTCCACACACTTGAGCTGTCAGTTCTTTGTAAGAAAAAAAAAAAAGTTCAGCATTCCTCAAAAAAGTTGGTTTCTCAAGGGACGTGGTTAAGTCTCTGCAGTTGTGGAACTAGCCCGCCCACTTTTAATTTACCATGTGTCAACAACAGCCCCACCTCAGTGGGTGCATTTACTGCCAAGGCATCATTTGCAAATGCCAGACTCAGAATATCATCAACTTTTGATTCTCACCATCTAATCCCCAGATCCTATTGTTATGTTTTACTGCCCCGTTTGTTCATTTCTATTTCTACTCTGCCCTCTACCCTCTTCCCCACTTCCTTCTTTGGACCTACACTCCCTGTCTCCTCCACCACTTCTCCCTCTATGACCATCAGGATCCCTTCCGATGACGTCATCCCATTTCCTCCCCTCCCTTCATCCCCAGTGGCCTCCTGCTTGAGGTCTCCTCTGTGCTCCAGATTCCTTAGACCCAGCCTCTGCCTTTCCATGGGGAGAAGCCCTCTCCGTCCTGAGTCAGAGGGGGATTCAAGAAGAGAGAGGAGACTCGGAGGGAGGCAATGACCCTTCCTAATCTATGTCTCCTTTTTACTTCAGATCTGTATAACTGCAAAACCCCAACTCCCCTTTCTGAAAAAAATCCCGAGCCCTGACTTTTCTCCTAGAATTTGTCCCCTGTTCCCACCACCTCACCTGGGGTGATTGTCAACAACTCCTTATGATTCTGTGTACTTCAATGGAGACTCGAACAAGGGGCAGAGGCAAAGAAGGCCTTCTGTCCTTGGCTGCTGGTACCAATGGGAGCTGAGAGCCTGCACAATTTTGAAGACGTCTCCCCATCCAACTGCCCTGATTGAGACCCCAATATGTGTAGGGTAAAAGGGCCAGGGGAAGAACACCACTAATCACTGAGCTTGCCCCTGAATCAGGCCACAAAAATCCACCAGTCCCAAGCCATCCTGGAAAGCTCTGTTTCCCCTCACCTCCCCAACCCCTATATAAGCCGGGCAGATATTCTGTTCAGTTTGGTGCTGCTTCTCACCCTGGCAGAGGCAGCCACTCTCCTGTATTTTTCCCTTTCAATAAATCTCTTGAGTGAAGTTTGTTGTGTAGTGTGACACTTTTGCTGGAGCAGACAGAGTTCAGCTGTAACAACTTTCACCAGAGCAGAGTAGAGCTATAACACTTCCATAGGAGCAGAGCTGTAATGCTTACAGTGACTTTGTGGTATTTCTTGGCTCCTGACTGCCAGGGATACCTTTCCATCTGAGCTGCAATGCTTAAAATATCTGAGCTGCAATGCTTAAAATATGTCCACCAGTTATCAAGACTTAATCTCTTTTCGCTGCTACCTTATGTCTGGGATTTGGGGTTCAGCTCGAACACCCAATAATTTATTTGTTTAAGACAACTAAGGTTCTCCAGGGACTGGAGGAATCTCCAGGGTATGTTCCTCCGATGATTACAGGAAGGCTTTCAAATTTACATGCCTTTCGACCCACTGGCTCCAGAAAGCACTAGGGCATTAAATCTGGACTTTGTAACTCAGTCTGCTCCTGATACCTGCAGGAAACTACAAAAGCTCGAGGGTTAGCTGGGATGAATACCTCCTAGCTTACAGAGGTGGCCCAAAGGGTTTTCTGTAGCTGAGATGCTGAGAAACAAAACCAAGCTGCCGTGACCACTGATCAAGTCACACACAGACAGAAAAAAGTCATGATGGCTGCCTTCCAGGCAGCTCTCCTGAGCCCCCAACGGCTCGCACCCAGAGAAGAGACCCACCCCAACACAAACAGTGGGACCCCTGTGCCTGTAGCAAGGAAGAGGGACACTGGAGGAGTGAATGTGCAAGCTTGGACTCTCCTGACCACAAGGGAGCTGCCCAACAATCGGAAGGAAGGACCCAGGGCTCTGCTCTCTCAGGCCTCCAAGAGCCCTTGGCTGCAGCATCAGTAGGAGGCTCCCCAGTTCTGTTCTTGGTAGACACTGGGGCAGAGGCCAGTGTCTGATGGGGCCACTTATGAATAAAAGGAAGTTCAGGGAGCCAGTAGCACAGTTAGGAACTGCCACCTCACACCTACCTCACACCTGAAAGAACAATTAACCTGGGCCACAAATAAGTGACACTTCTTTATAGTGGTCCCAGATTGTCCCTTTTCCCTTCTGAGCAGAGATCTTGGAAAACGAGGTACAACCATCACTTTTACTCCCCAGGAGACTAGAATTTCCCTGGCACTTGCCTACCAGCTTAACTCCCCCTCTGTCTGAATATCTCCAAGTCCTTCCAGACTCCACAGCAGAGGCAAACACGGATCCTGGAAACCTGCTCTGGGACCTGCACTGACAGTTTCCTACGGTATGGGCTGAGACAGATCCTCTGGGTTTGGTGGCACACCACCCACCCGTTGTGGCAAGTCTCTTGACTAAGGTCACACGTGTAAGGGTCCTGCAGTATCTCAGGAACCAGAAGGCTAGACTAGGAACTGCTCCTCACATCAGGAGGCTGTTGGAAGCAAACATACTCCCTCTCTGCCAGTCAACCTGGAATATGCCTTTCCTGGTCCTTAAGCTGGGGACCTCAGGTTACTCCCCAGTCCAGGATCTCTGGGAGGTAAAGAAGCAGACTGAGACCATTCATTCTACTATTCCACACCAATAAACTTTGCTCAGTCTCCTCCCACCTGAACACCAGGTCCATACGGTCCTGGACCTTCAGGATATTTTGTTTTCCATTTCCCTGGTTCTGGGGAACCAGCCCATATTTACCTTTGAATGAACATATCTAATGTCCTGTGAGATAAATCAGCTAACCTGGACACAACCACCCCAAGGGATTAAACATTCTTATATGCTCTTTGGGGGAAGCATTTCAGAAAGACTTGATAGGATTCAGTGTCCCACCCTGACTCCATTCTCTCCAGTATGTAAATAACCTCTTTCTGGCAGTCACCAACACAACCACCTGTGTGAGAGAAACTTGATCAGGCTGTTCCAGACATTAGGCTAGTGAGTCTCTGTGAAGAAGGCCCAGCTTTGCAGATGGAAGTTCCCTGTCTGGGGTACAAGCTTGTTCAAGGTAGGTGAACTCTTGGTGCCACCCAGAAGGAAGCCATCCTTTAGCTTCTCACATCCAAACTAAGTAGCAGGTACAGCGATTTCTGGAGCCAGCAGATTATTGCAGGCTCTGGATTCCAGGGTTTGCACAAATGGCCCAGGCTCTTGGTTCTGTCACAGGAGACCAGTCTTTAAACTGGCCAGAGGCAGAGGAGCTGTGTTTTGAAGAACTAAAGTAGGCCCTAACCCTAGCCCCAGGTTTCATTCTATGAGATGTCACTAAACTGTCTCACCTTTTTGTTCATGAGACTCAGGGCCTTGCAAAGGGTGTCAACTCAGATCCTGGGGCCTTGGTGGAGGCCCATAGCATATCTAAGTGTTTGGATCTGGTGGCCTCAGATTGACCGTCCTATTTGAAGCTATTGCTGAAATCATTACACTAGTAAGGGAAGCTGACAAGCTCACTCTAGGCCAGGGTCTGACAGTGACAGCCCCTCACACTGTGAAGAACCTCTATGGGGGCAAATGGCCAATGGGTGTTGTCTTACCATACAAAGTAGATGACAATACCTTATCCTCTATGCCCTCCTGGTCAGATTCCCAACTGGATAAGTCTCTAGCTGTCTTCCCACCTCCCTTGTCTTATGGGAGCCTAAAGCCCCTGCAGCTGCAGGACCCATGTTTACCAACCCCTGGGGCTATGCTAACTCCACCCCTAACTGGACTCCTGCAGTGCCTGACCACCCACCTCCTAAATTACAACCAGCCTGAAACGGCACAGGATGGCTGCCTCTGTTTAAAGGCCTGACCCTCTATGACTATGTCAGGGAGCAGAGAATCCTGTAGCTGTGACCTCCAACTGCTCTGCCGGTCTGCACCCAGAAACCACCATCACATGTTCTGAACCAGAAGGGGCCATCTTTTATTCTCCCTCAGTCAACCCTGCAGGAGGCATGGGAGAGCCACCCCGTTCCTCTTTCTAATGTTAGTGGCAGTGGGGGTGGAACCTCTCTGCCTTACATACTCTGGCCCTAATCAGAAAGGAAGAGGGCCTAAAACAGATGAGTCGCCAGATGGATGCAGACATTGGACATCTCCGGTTTTCTGTTTATACACCTCGTGCCTAAGTAGACTCTGTAGATGTAACCAAACGTCTTATTAAATAAGAAACACAGAGCCGATTCAGAGAAGAAAACCAAGAGGTCAGAGCTAAGAGCCTTACCCTTCCTGCTTCAGCCAAGAGAGCTCTCCGAAAGGGAGCTACTTCCTGTGTGTTTGTCTTTATAGCCTTTTTGTTCTGTCTTCTCATTGGTTGTAAACCCAAACACATGACTGCCCTCGTCACTGTCTGTCTGTAGAGACTTCCAGGTCTTCTATGGTTGGTATTGAGATTAAAGGCATGTGTCTCC